GCCCGTAGGAAGAGAGTTTAACCGAACAGTCGTTCAAAAGTGAACGACTGACAATATTCAGTCACCCCCCACGAGGGTGTCATGTGGCACAAGGCCTTTTTAACGTGGGCATTCCCGAGCCATTAGGCTCGGCCAAAAAATAGCCCATTTGAACCCGTATAAACGGGTTCTGGGCCGGTTTTTACCTCCCCGAAGGAGACTCCGCCCTTCGGCGTAGCCTCCTTCGGTTTCCTCCCGCCCGTAGGAAGAGAGTTGAACCAGTCTTTTGCTGTCAGTCAAAAATTTTCATTTTGAACGACCCTGACAATATTCAGTCACCCCCCCCACGAGGGTGTCAAAGTCGCACAAGGCCTTTTTTCAACGTGGGCATTCCCTAGCCATTAGGCTCGGCCAAAAAATAGCCCATTTGAACCCGTATAAAACGGGTTCTGGGCCGGTTTACCTCCCCGAAGGAGACTCCGCCCTTCGGCGTAGCCTCCTTCGGGTTCCTCCCGCCCGTAGGAAGAGAGTTTTTGCCGAACAGTCGTTTTTGGTGAACGACTGACAATATTCAGTCAAATACCCCCCCACGAGGGTGTCATGTGGCACAAGGCCTTTTTAACGTGGGCATTCCCGAGCCATTAGGCTCGGCCAAAAAATAGCCCATTTGAACCCGTATAAACGGGTTCTGGGCCAGTTTTTCCTCCCCGAAGGAGACTCCGCCCTTCGGCGTAGCCTCCTTCGGGTTCCTCCCGCCCGTAGGAAGAGAGTTTAACCGAACAGTCGCTTCAAAAGTGAACGACTGACAATATTCAGTCACCCCCCACGAGGGTGTCATGTGGCACAAGGCCTTTTTTAAAGTGGGCATTCCCGAGCCATTAGGCTCGGCCAAAAAATAAAAAAATTTGAACCCGTATAAACGGGTTCTGGGCCAATTTAACCTCCCCGAAGGAGACTCCGCCCTTCGGCGTAGCCTCCTTCGGGTTCCTCCCGCCCGTAGGAAGAGAGTTTAAACCGAACAGTCGGTTCAAAAGTGAACGACTGACAATATTCAGTCACCCCCACACAGGGTGTCATGTGGCACAAATTACTTTTTTAACGTGGGCATTCCCGAGCCATTAGGCTCGGCCAAAAAAAAATTATATTTTTTGAACCCGTATAAACGGGTTCTGGGCCGAGAAAAAAAACCTCCCGAAGGATTTCCGCCCTTCGGCGTAGCCTCCTTCGGGTTCCTCCCGCCCTTCAGGAAGAGAGTTCAAACCGAATAGTCAGTTCAAAAAAGTGAACGACTGAAATATTCAGTCACCCCCCCACGAGGGTGTCATGTTTAGCACAAGGCCTTTTTTAACGTGGGCAATTCCCGAGCCATTAGGCTCGGCCAAAAATATCTTTTTTTAAAATAAACGGGTTCTTCAATTTTTTCCCCGAAGGAGACTCCGCCCTTCGGCGTAGCCTCCTTCATTTTCCTCCCTCCCGTAGGGAAGAAATAAACCGTGCAGTCATATCAATTTTACTTGAACGACTGACAATATTCAGTCACCCCCACGAGGGTGTCATGTATATATAAATTTAACGTAAAATTTTTTATTATTAGGCTCGGCAAAAAATTTCCATTTGAACCCGTATAAACGGGTTCAGGGCCGAGATGAAATATTCCTTTAAGGAGACTCCGCCCTTCGGCGTAGCCTCCTTTTTAGTTCCTCTCAAAATTATAGGAAGAGAGTTGAACCGAAAAGTCAGTTCAACTACCTAAATAACGAAAAATGGCAATTTCAGTCACCCCCCACGAGGGTGTCATACGACACAAGGCCTTTTTAACATGGGCATTTATAGCCATTAGGCTCGGCCTATAAATATATTTTGAACCCGTATAAACGGGTTCCAGGCCGAAATTAATTCAAAGGAGAATCGCCCTCTAAAAGCCTCCTTCAGGTTCCTCTCGCCCGTAGGAAGAGAGTTGAACCGTTTTTTTATCTTTTTCAGAAATTTTCATTTCAATTTTTTCACCCCCAATGAGGTTTCATGAGGCACAAGGCCTTTTTTTTTTTGTTTTAAATTTTTTTCAATTTATTCTATAATCCCATAACATTTTATATAATATAAAAGGTTCTGGTTTTGAACTTTTTACCTCATTCTTTTTAATTGTCCATTTGATTTTTTCCAACCTTAAATATAAAGTTATTGTTGATAATTACCAGAAAATATTTTTAGACTGACAAATTTTTTTTTATTTTGAGATAATAATGATATATTTTTATAATTTCTTTAAATTAAATAATCTTTCTCCAAAAAAAATCATTTACTTTTATATTTGGTCCATTGTATCCTCAGCATCCTTCTGTAGAACCATATTTCTATTGCTTCAAGTTTTTCTTCATTTGTAAAAAGACCGTTCAACATTTACTGCCATGTAAAAGGACTAATATTACATAACAGCTCAGGACACTTTTTTTTCTTTTTTTTTTTTTTTTTGCTTTTAACAAAATTCTTACTTGAGCTAAACGCTCTTCCATCATTAGCGTCCAATGATTAATAACTACAAAATGTTATTGCACCGTTTTCAACCTTGACAAATAAGGTACGTTTCATTCCGTGTCGCCTCAGTGACGCTAATAATCATATTATATCAATGATTACTTTTCTTATTATCTTTTATTAAAATAAAGTTGGTTTTAAATAATTTTTATCGGCATATTTTAAACCTCTTTGGGTTAATTTATTAATAAATTTTAATATTTTGCTTCAACAAAATATATTTTGAACGCAAATGGAGGCCTTCAACTATTTAAATATGAAAAAAAATTATTGTTTTGCCATTTTTATTATAAAAAATGTTTCTGGTCTTCACCATTGAATGATATTGTTAAAAAACTGTACATATACATGTTTATGTGGGTCATAAACACTAGAGAATATGTGATATCATGTGTTTTATGATATATAAATATTCTGCTTTCACAGTTGTATACATGGTAGATGATAATCAGCTTTTATTCATATACTTGTTTGTGTGGACATAATTACTAGAAACAATGATATGTGGGTTTAAAGTTGTAGTTTTGAACCTCAATTTATTTTTTTTAATAACGTTTGAAATTTAAAATTTTAATATATTATATCGATTAATGTCATGAAATATATTTTCATGTTATTGGTTAAAATTTGTTTAACGGTTTATCAAAATGATAGATAAATATGAGTTATTTAATTTTTCTTTTAATATTTTACACAATGGTTTTAAAATCAAATATTTTTTAAAATGTATTTTTCTGGCCATTTTTCTATAAAAAATATTAATTGATTATTTTTATTACAAAAAATTTAAATTGCATTTCCAATGCAAAAATGTATTCCTACACTTTCATAGTATTGTGTCTTGTTTGGAGGTTCAATATTTGCCCATAGCTGGGACCTAACAGTAATAATATTACTGTAGAATATTAAATGGATTAATGTCATGAAAACGTTAATTCTTGAGTTTGTTTAGCGGCATATCAACAACTCTATAGGTTATTTAATGCCAGAACCTAAATATTTTAAACAAACTTTTATGGCTTCAACTAAATATATTTTGAACGCAATTGTTTGCTTTCAACTACAGATAAAATGTATTGTTGGTCATTTTGCTATAAATATGTATTGTTGGTATTTTTATTATAAATATATATTGTTGGTAGTTCTATTATAATATGTTTTTCTGGTCATTATCCTTTAAAAATATATTGTTGGTCATTTTGCTATAAATATGTATTGTTGTTAATTCTACTATAAAATGTATTGCGAGTCATTTTGCTTTAAAAGTGTCTTCACCATTGAATATATGGCAGATGATAAAGTTTTTTATTCATATACACGATAAATGTTTATACATAATTATCAGAGGTATGATATGTTTAAACATGTTGTAGTTTTCTTCAATTTATATTTTGGAATAACGTTTGATTTAAGAAAATGTAGGACATTATATGAATTAATGTCATGAAAGTGTTGTTTCATGTTTGTTTGTTGGTTGGTTTAATGAAACACACTTTGACGTAAGGCTGTAGAGTCTAATTTTTCAACATCGAAATTTAAAATGAAGCTTGGGTAGATTCCAAATATATACTTGTAAAATCTACAATACTTTGAATTATTATTACCAACAAACAATCCAAATGAACGTAACATTATTGATCTGGGTAGTCTCTGATAATTATCTAATGTTTTCTTTTTAAATTCATTGTCGATTTACAGATCTTAAAGGACATACCTTCAATTTTAGACGGCCCAAGTTGAGCTTTACTTTGATCTGCCTTTGCTTATTTCGATGAGGTTTTCATTTCTAGTGGTTTGTTATTTTACAAAAATGATTTGATCTTTAGCACGAAATAAACAATTTTTGCTCCTCATTTTAATGTGTACTGACCGATGCACTGGCCTCGATCAGGTTATCACTTCTTCCTTCCATATTTTCTACTAAATAACATCCTGAGTTAAACATTGATTTGGAGAAAACTTCCGCCTTATCTTCAGCTAGCATTATTCTCTGCCCTTGGCGAAATAGTGACCTTATCTTTTGATATAGAAAAAATATCGTCTGTTGAAGAGAAATTCAAATGGTCTTAAATTGGTCCTCACAATGATCAAATGTTATTCAATGGCCTCAATGCAGTTGTGACCTCTTCCTACGGTGGACTTTTCATTGGACCGGATCAGCTGAGATGATCCTCAAGTTAGAGGAAATCAAATTGATCCTTGCGTTGATCGGACTGTGGTGTATACCAGAGAGACGGATGGCTTACAATACTGTTTTGATTAGAGATATTGGTCACCGTAAATCTAGCTCAATTAATGGTTCAATACAAAAAGAAAATCACAGATCAATGATTGCAAAGATCAAAATACGTATAAAAAAAAGAGTTTGGATAGTTTTTAGATAGGATCGGTATTTTATTTTTATTATTACTTTTTTAATCGTACATATTTAGTGCCCCACTGCTACAAGCACCTGTATTTACAAGGGGGACACATAAAAATATTACAAGAATATTGATAGATGTACGATGAAATGGGAGGCGAATACACACAACGATAACTAGATGGTATGGACACATAATGATAGATAGATAGATAGATAGATAGATAGATATGAACAGGTTTAGATACAAAGAGAGAGAGAGAAGTTTTGGATAGATAGATAGATAGATAGATAGATAGATAGATAGATAGATAGATAGATAGATATGAACAGGTTTAAATACAAAGAGAGAGAGAGAAAAGGTTTTGGATAGAGAGATGAGCAGATTGGGATAGATAGATAGATAGATAGATAGATAGATAGATAGATAGATAGATAGGCGTAAAAGACTCATCGATATATACACATATAATGATTTTTAGATAGATAGATAGATAGATAGATAGATAGATAGATATGAACTGGTTGAGATGCAAAGAGAGAGAGAGAGAGGTGAACTTTGGGATAGATGGATAGATAGAGATAGATAGGTAGATAGATGAATAGATAGATAGTGAGATTTTTATAAGTTAGAAAAAAGAGAGATAAAACATATTGTGATGAAATAGATAGATAGATAGATAGATAGATAGATAGATAGATAGATAGATAGATAGATATGAACAGGTTGAGATACAAAGAGAGAGAGAGACCGGATAGATAAAGAGAGAGTGCGAAAGATGGACAGTTTTGGATAGATAGATAGATAGATAGATAGATAGATAGATAGATAGATAGATAGATAGATAGATAATGAACAGGTTGAGATGCAACGAGAGAGAGATGTGAACTTGGAATAGATGGATAGATAGAGATAGATAGGTAGCTAGAGGAATAGATAGATAGTGAGAGTGAGAGGGCGAGAAAGAGAGATAAATATATTGTGATAGATAGATAGATATGAACAGGTTGAGATACACAGAGTGAGAGAGTCTGGATAGATAAAGAGAGAGTGAGAGAAATGCATTCTTTCTGGACAGTTTGGGATAGATAGATAGATAGATAGATAGATAGATAGATAGATAGATAGATAGATAGATAGGAGCATAATCCTGCACCATGTACACCCTCAACATTTTCGTCCTTTTCTTCGATGGAGCAAAATGTCAGCGAAATCGACCATCAAGTGGTCTTTATTCACACACTTAAGAAAAGTCTACAAGCAAATAAAAGTCCCAAATTCCCAACGACCCTAACCAACAAAATGAACTTCCTTTCACGTCTTTCTGTTACTGCATATATCTTCTTCTTTTTTCATTTAACTACAGTTTTTGTCTCGTTTATTTGTTGAATTTGATTTTCTTATCTCTTCTCATCTCCGTATGAATAAACTGATTGAATCTGGCAGATGTGATTGGCTCAAAAATACTGACCAAGATGGAAGTCATCGGAAGATTTAGAATTAAATTCTTTATCAGTGCAGCCATTACAATCCAGCAAGTGATCTGTTCAAAGATATATAGATATGTGGATGGATAAATCAGAGATATGTAGAAATAACCTGGAAGAAATAGTGAAATACGATTTCAGTCTGAAACAGGCTAAATAAATAATTAAAAATATAAGTTAAAATTAGTTAAAATTGAATTTCTACACCCTTGTGCAACCTAATTGTAACAAAAGGAATAATTCCGTTATTCTTTTTTCGTATTTTTCCAATGAAACATGACCCAGTGCACATGTTAGTACTTCGTATGTCGATTCCACGAAGTTTTTCCTTGCTGATTGACCACAGATTCTCGATTGGATTTAAATCAGGAGAATTTCCGGACCAGTCTATAGTACTTTGATTTGCTGACTGGTAAGGCTTGCCAGTGTGTTCGTACAGCGTTACAATTTTTGTACGCTTCGTTGGAGTAACGGACGTCGTACAAAATGACCGTAGGACAACTAATCGACCGTCGCGACAATAGCGTCTGAACGTGATAAAAACCTTATGCTATCACGGATGACGCAATATTTTTCAAGGCTAAACAAATTTCGTCATACATCCCGAAAATAAATCCTTATTACTGCACACCACTGCAAATGACATAATCTGAAGAAAAAACATTAATTGAAAACACCTGGTCTCTCCAGTAGGTCTAAAACTGACCTTATGGCGAAAGAAAGGAAACAATACGGTTGTTTCAATTAATTTTCAGAAGGGTCTATATCGATACGTTTAATTAAAAAATAGAGCGTTTAGCCGCATCACTTGAATTTCGTTTTATCTCACCATTATAGAATTTTCTTCTTGTGAAATAAAATGCATTTTATGGTGACATCGGTTCATTAGCAAAACATGTCAAAGCATAATTTTTCATAATTGTCTAAGATATTGTTATGGGACCTTACCGATAATAACATAATGGACTATTCCATACGTAATAAATACTGCGCCTCAAGAGGAAGCACAGAGTTCAGTCCGAAGTCTGGCGACCGGCTGATCGTTTGAACTGTCTGCCTTCGGGCGGGGAGGAACCCGAACGAAGGGCGGAGTCACTTTCGGGGAGGTGAACCGACCCTGGACCCGTTTATACGGGTTCAAAGGGCATATTTTTGACCGAGCCCACTTGTGCCACATGATGCCCTCGTGAGCGGGGGGGGTGACTAAATACTGTTTAGTCTGAAGTCGGACGACCGGCTGACCGGCTGGTCGGTTGAACTCTCTGCCTTCGGGCGGGTTCAAAGGGTATATTTTTGGCCGAGCCCACGGGCTCGGAAATCCCACATTAAACCGGCCTTGTACCACATGATGCCCTCGTGGAGGGGGTGACTAAACACTGTTCAGTCTGAAGTCTGGAGTGAAGTCCGTCAGGAGTCTGTCAGTCAGTCAGAGCGAGTCAGTCAATCAGTCGAGTCAGAGGCAGTCCGAAACAGAGTCGCGTTCAGACAATTACTACTAAACCTGATTGTTCGTACTAACACTTTCTACTTCTCTGTCTGTATATATTCCTGTTTGTAATATATCTGTGTTATTCCATATCCGTGTTCGAGTTCTTCTTTATTGGTTCTACCTTGGACTATCACCGTGGTACAAGGAACCGGACCATAACAATATTGCATATATCAGAAAAGAAACAAATGTCTTAATGTAAGAATTGCCTTTACTACATAAGCTCAGTGGTTAAAGACTACCAGAAAACATGAATTGTGTTTAAAATACGTTTTTTGAATTAGACATAAACAAAAAATAGTTTTAATCCAGTGGCGTCTCAATTCATACCTAATAAATAATTATAAAGTTTGAAATTTTTTGTTTTTACCTTTGATACCAAATACAATGAAAATGTCATATTTTTTCAGCATATTAAAGGTCAAAATCAACACTAAAAAAAGTTACGATGAACTTAAAGATTGGTGTATTAATTAAAAAATATGCCTTATTATGGCGAATAAATTATCCCTCATTCTGATTTCTGGAAATCATTTTGCTTTTAACACATTTTTTTTTTTATCGAAAATTTAACGACATTAATCTTGCTTTCGGTACATTTCATTTCCTATCGAAATATAATAAAGATTATATCATTCTATTGTTTAGACTGAAGATGTCCGAACGAAAATCAAAATTTGGAGTACACATTTTCCATTTTTTATTCAGTTCGGTAAAAACACAAAAAACAATCGGCTTTGATATTTTTCCACAAACGCACCAAAAAACAAACACACAAAAACAATCATGTTTGCATTTTATATATATATATATATATATTTTTTCATTTTATTACGTGTGAGATTAACAAACAACACAAAAAAAAAAATTGTAATACGATTTTCTAAATAAGAAATATTTAACAAACCGATTTCAGGGTAAAAATTCAAATCCTTCTTTTTTTCATCCCCTGCTTTTCCTAGGTTCTTTCTGGTTCGTTAGGTTTTAGTTTTTTCATATATATATATATATATATATTTTGTGTTGTTTGTGTGTTTGTGTGTTTGTGTGTGTTACATCTCTTGTGTGTGTGTAAAAAGTTAAAAAATTGAATGTCATATATAAAAATATAAACAAAACATTGAAGTCAACACTCAAGAATTTGAATTTTGTTTCATACTGACAGCAATCGTAAGTTCGGTCTTCATTGTGTCCAAGCATGAAACCTTGTATTTATCAAAAAGAAATAATGTTCATTTAATTTATATTTACATATTTTCTATCTCTGATATTAACACTTTATCCCATAAATATAGACACCTTTTTAACTATTTTTCATCATATATATATATATATAAATATATATATATATATATATATATATATATATATTCAGACAGTAACCTTCGACGACAAAATATTTATACTAGAAAAAAAAGAATCAAAATTGACTTGCAGTTCAGTCATCTTTAATGAAATTAATTATTTTTTTCTTGGTCTTAGTTTAAATGACATTTTTTCAATAATTTAAAAATTTGCAAAAATTCCTCAACTTCATATCTACCTACCGATTATATCATCACATCAATAGATAAATTCCTCCAAATCCCAAAACCCGGTGTTCCAAAAAGAGAAGTCATTTTAACGTCACTGTAACGTAGAATGAAACCATTGATCTCGCCATTTAAATGTTTTTATGATGAAATAATCTGATCCCATCAAACCTAATATTCTCAAAAATATATCGCATGCCTACGCCACTAAATTCCCTTCCTACGGCCATAATGCAAATATTTACACTCAAACTAATGGTGTTAGTGGGGGAAATCCATTCAGTCCGTGCTTCTCTATTACATGACGCTCGTAGAAAAAAAAAGATATTTTTAAAATAGTTAGTAAACTCTAAATATATGACCGCTATATAGATGATAATTATTATTTTAGCTGAAAGTAAAAAGAAATTGATAATATAAAAACCACATTTGAAAAAAAAGTGAACCAACTTTACTTTAGCTAAGAAAAACATATTCTTTCCATTCTGTAGACTTAAAACGTAAAATTAAATAAACATTAATTTATCGGCTTCGTTATACAAAAACCTACAAGGAGAAATGATTCGTCCGTAATTTTATCAGTGAATCTAGTCTGGTGATATAAAATGTATTTAGTTATTGAATAAAATCCTCAAGAATAACGTGCAATTTATCCTCGACCTTTGCCTTTTTTAGAAAATTCAATAATTGTTTGAATAGACGCTCCATTTAACAACGGTTTTCCGAACTACCTCATCGATCACCAGAATATTTCTTTCTAAAGTGTCTAATAGAAATACTGAACAGATAAAATTCCTATAAAAGCCAAGCACGCCTTAACGAGAAGCAAGATGATTTTTCTTAGAAACATTATAAAGTAATACACAATCCGAGTCGACCAGAACAAGGAAATTAAATTATCTACTATAAAAAATAACAACATGCCAGTAAGATATAAATTACAGA